GCCCTGAGGCACCCCCTCCGCGGCAGCTCCCGCCATCCCGGAGAGCCGTGAAGCAGCTCCCCACCCCCCCCCCACCCGGCCCAGAGAGCCGTGCGGCAGCTCCCCCACCCCAGCTCACCTCTGCTCCGCCTCCTCCCCGAGCACGCCGCCACCGCTCTAATTCTCCTCCCCTCCCAGGCTTGCAGCGCCAAACAGCTGATTGGCGCCACAAGCCTGGGAGGCGGGAGAAGTGGAGTGGCCGCTGCGCTGGGAGAGGGAGTCTGAGCCGCACATGTCAGCGCGCTGCCGGCAGCCCAGCCCAGGAACGCTGTAAAAAAAAATTGGGGGCACCGCTTTTTGGCGCCCACAAATCTTGGCACCCTAGGCAACCACCTAGTTTGCCTTAATGGTAGCACCGGCCCTGCCTGTGGGGGGTTAGGCCTAAACAATGCTCAGGCTCCACCATCAGCCCCATTTGTCTATGACCTCCCCACACACAGATCCCCAAACCTGTGGAGAGTCCTGCTTTGGGAGTGGTGCCACAGAGGCAGCAAAATTCCCCATCTGTGAAGAGAACCATACACAAAGGTTCCCTCTGTGAACAGATCTGAACAAACAAGTGGGCTCCGAGGTTTTATGTAATCACTGAAGGAAGAATCCAGGAATTCCAATGATGGGAATCAAAGTATCAAAAAAAAAGAAAACAGTCACAGAAAAACAACATAAAGATGCCTTTGGTCAAAGAGTCTTGTAAAGTTGCAGAGTCTGCTGAAAAGCACACCAACTCCACAGGATTGTTTGAGGATCCTCTGCCAGGCAAGGTAATCACATAAATTCAGAAGCTATACTTGGAATTAAGGTCAGACCTTGTTGTCTTCCATTTGTACAATATACAGGCAGTTATATGCTCCACTACTATACCTGCAGCAATAGTCTGTTGAAATTAAAGTCCTTTTCTTAATCCTGAGGAGGTGTGATAACATGTGTACTCCTACACATACTGTAAGTTCTGATCAAACTAGCTTGCTAAAAATAACAGTGAAGCTGCAGCAAATTGGGCATCAGCACAGACTATCCACTGGAGTACAAACCTACCAGGACCCTGCGTTAGTACTCAGGTGGCTAGCCCATGCTGTCATGGATTACTGTTAATTTTAGCAAGCTAGCTCGGGTATGTTTACACATGGTGCAAATCACCCCCCTCAATTGCGGTGTAGGCCCTAGAATTAATGTTGAAATCCTTTTTTAGTCCTAGATGATGGATAACTATAAAGTCTCCTAAGAACATGGTCATGTATATTCTTCAGTCCCATGACCAGAGAATTTGGAATAAAATCAGTCAGCAGCTGCAGACTTATACAGAAGAATCCAAGCACTCATTTTAAAATTAAGTTTCTCGTCCTTATGTTTGTGAAGAAAACCTTTCAGATATGAACTGACCTATGCCCTGTTGCCTTCCTGAGTCTATAGGTAGTAGCTCTGAGAATTCTGAGTGCCCTCATTTCTCTCAATGAGGTGTTAACTATGAAACCCAATGATGATAATTTAAACTGTCTACATTAAACATTCTACTTGCATAACGAACTAGGAGTTCTAGACCCTCCAAAAATTCACATCTCCTCTGACCCAGTTGAAAAGAGATTCAACAAAAGCATGCACCATTTTCAAATTCCTGTGCCTCCATAGGAATAGAGCTATATTTTATTATTATTATATTATTATTATATTATATTTTTTACCCAAAACAAAACATTTCATTTTAGCCTTTTTAAACTTTGAAGAAAGCGTCAAATGTTGTTTTGAATAGAAATGTTGAATAGAAATGAAATGTTGTTTTGAATAGAAAAATAATGTTTCAAAAATGTGAAAATTAAACATTTGCGGGGGGAATATATGTTTTGGATTTTTACTGAAACATTTTGGCAACATAGACACAAAGTTTGTGAGTCAAATCTGCGTTTTTTGGCAAAAAACAGTTTTGGCAGAAAAGTTTCACGGAACTGTACTTAGGAATGCACCGTGGATCTTGGAGTTTCCCAGTAGACAGGAGAAGTACAGAAATTACATCATCCCTGGAAATGATTCCATCCCTGTTCTCCATGACCCGCTATTTCTACAAGCCAATGCAGGGACCTGTGAGTGATCAGTGCCATGACCCCCACTTCCTGGCTGCCCCTTTTAGGACAGAATGCACTGGTGATGGGGCACATCGGAATAATTCATATAGGAAGCACAGAAAAGGCTTGGAATGTTCCTTTAAGGTTTGTGATT